ATATAATTATTTGGTAATTGTGTACAATGAAATTTGGGCTCTTAATGGTTGAGGGAGATCCACGATACAAAATCATTAAGAGATTTTTAGAACCACTAAGATGCAGACTTTTTTTTTGCCAAACAAGATTTACCTTTTAATGATTCAGATGTTGCCTCTTAATAGAACTATTAAGAGGTAAACAAACAACCCCTTAGATGGATCCGATCCAATCATTCAATGGATTTTGGGTTTTGTCGTCCCATCCAATCCAATTAACATTGGATACACGATCCAATTCAATTCGATCCAATCCAATGAATGATTGGATTGGATCAGTTTCATCTGTTGTTTATAACTACTTATTATCCATTTGATTATATTGAATCTATTCAATATTATGATACAATATTCAACCAATTATTCATATATTTTATTAATTTATAAAAAACCACTGTTAATAAATATCAACTAAAAACAATACATAAAATGTTAAATATTTATATACAGTTAATGATAGGAGTGTGTAGAAAGTCACCAATCCAATTGTTATTGAATCGGATCTGATTGAAAATTTCAACATCCGTTAGATGGATCTAATCCGATCGGATCATCCATTGGATATCGAATGGATCCAATCTAATCCCTTCCAATTAATCTGATCCAATAAAAATATCCAGTGGATGGAATCGGAACGATCCAATCATCCACTAGATTGGATTGGTTGGCAAAATTCAAAATCCAATGGATGATTGGATCGATTAAGTTCCCCTTACATTCAATGGATGCCAACCGATGAACATACCTAGTTAATAATTACATAATACTTTGATGATAATTGGATGGTAATTAGATTGGACCAGCTCAGTTTTATTGGACTATAGATTGACATTTAAGAACCGATCGATCTAATTTGAGGATTGAAATTTTGGATCCGATCTGATCCAATTATAATTAGACACTCGATTATGCCTAATTTGTTTTAATTAGACCATTCAGTTTAAACTGAATCAGATGAATTTCTATACACCCTAATCTGAAATGACTAGAATGGTACTCGCACAATGCAACCAAATAAATCTTGATTTTAATGTTTCGTTTTATTCCGTCCCTTGTTGATGTTATAATACGGTTTTATGTTGTTTTGAGAAAACGATAATATTTTCATTTTTGAATAAAATATAAATTTGAAGATATCATCAAATTTTTTTAAAAAATATATCGAAACGTATCTAATTAACTATTTAAAAGTTATTTTTTTGTGTGTAATTTCTTTAATTCAAATTTTTTACTATAATTTAATAGGTATAATAACCAAAATAATTTTTTTAATAATATAATTTTTTATAAATATAATAATTAAGTATTTTGTAGAAGACAATAGTTATTCTAATTATATTTTAGATATTTTATATTTAAAATGAAATGTATATCTTGTATTTGATTATGTTTATTTACAGTCAGTTACACGAATTTCAGTATGGTATTTTAATAAGTTGTACTAATGTACAATTTATTATAATAAATATGCATCAATAAATACTATTTTATATACAAAAGATAATTTTTAAGAATTTACATGAAATGCTAATCTATATACTATATTATAAAGCATTTGACAAAAACTCTTAAAAACTATTTTTATGCATAAAATACTGTTTATTGATGCATATTACTTAAAATTTAAGATTTCAAGTAATTTTGCGTAAGTATAACTAATTAAAGCTTTATTTTTAAATTCGTGTAACTAACTGCTGATAAACATAATTAAATACAGGATGAACATCAATTTTAAATATAAAAAATCTAAAATATAATTAAGATAACATAATGTTTAATTATTATCTTTATAAAAAAATTATATTATTAAACCAAAAAAAATTATTATGTTATTAAATTATAATAAAAAATTGAATTAACCAAAAAAATGAGAACTATTAAATAGTTAATTTGATATTATTATCGATTTATTTTTTTACAAATTTTATGTTATCTTCAAATTTATATTTTAATTCAAAAATAAAAATATTAACGCTTTCTTAAAACCACATAAAATCATATTATATCACTAGAGACAAAGAATAAAAACTAAACACTAAAATCAAAATTTATCTTATTGTATTATGTAAGCACCCTTATAATATAACGTAATATAGATATAGATTTTAATTTTCATAAGTTTTTTAAATATTGTTTTTGTTTTAACTTTTGTGAAAACGGTAAACCAGGAAAAGGCAAAAGTAATGAGATATTTATGACGTCAGCCAAGTTGGGAGTCAATGATATCGCAAATCACGTGAGGTGGGCCCATGAGAAAAATGAAAATATCTTGACCAACCATGGTTACTTTTATACCATATCTCCAACCATAAACGCCGGCCTTCCAAAACCACTCCCAAAGGCAGGCCTACGTTGTCGGAAGACTTGTTTTAAAGATTTAAAGTTTCACTGATTTTATTAGAGAAGATTTAATAAAGATATAAGTTATATTTGTTATTACATATTAATACAATTTAAATAAATAAGAGTTATGGTTTCAATTACAGTCTATCGATTGAAAAAATTGTATGACAGTTTAAAATCAAACATATTTAAACGACTTCACAAATATGTTCCATTTACACCAAGAGCAGAGAATCAAGAGATCGAGACTGAGACTGAGAGTTCTAGAACAATTGAATGAAAGATGAATGAGAGAACTTTTAACAACTCATGGTGAATATCCGTTTGAATCTCACATTGGATGATGAGGATAAGACATAGAGGGTGAAAGCATGAGTGAAAGGTGTCAAAAGTATCTTTGAAACATGAAAAGAAAATGTAATAATGTGCATTGATAACTTGCACCATGTGTTATTTTAATGTAGATTAAGATATTTTAAGACTGAATGCATAAAGTAATAGTAATAGTACTTAATGCATTATGAGTTGTTTTTAAGACTTTTAAGACTTTGTGCATTAAAAATTGTTTTTAAAACTTTTGATAAATTTGGTTTATAAGATAATATAGGTTATTAGTAAAAAGTGTCGTGGTTTATAAAAATCTTGTATCAAATATGTTTTTATAAGAATTATTAATGTGGAGTTTTAAAATAATTCTTAATTTAATGAGTTGACGACAATTACATCTGTAACTCAATCATATTTTTAATTGATTTAATAACAACTTCTAAATTTCAAAATACATAAAATCAAGAACCGAAATTTGGTTTGTAACAATTACATGATTTATATTTGAAATTCCATAACTACGCACTGTGTGTATGTGTGTTACATCTTGATGAGAATGAAAGTTACAGTGAGAAGGGTAAAAAATGATCTATACCATTGGATCAGTAATAACTGAATAACAATAATGAAATGCATCGAGATGCACAAGATCAATTTTTTTTTATCAAGCGCAATTAATGGAGCGATGATGAGATTAAAAGTGATTGATGGTCCAGATCGTTCTTATATTTCTCACTTTAACTTTTATTTTCATACTATCCTTTGTGACACCCATACATACACACATACACACATACATACATACACACATACACACATACACACACACATACATACACACATACAGATGAATGATCATATGAGAAGGGAAGCTATGAGAAAAAGCGTAACAAGAGATCTGAATTCTTGTTCATTCTTAATCTCGCGGCCATCAATGAATTGCACTTTAGAATTAATCCAATGATGGAGATTTCTTCTTACGCTTTCTATATGTGTGTGTGTGTATATATATATAGATATACAGAGGCAACATTCTGTTAGGAATCCAATTTTTTTTTTGGAATTTGGGAACCATTCACTAGGCATTAGATATCTCTTCAGGATGAATATTCATCATGAAGGGGGTGGGGGGAGAGAGAGAGAGAGAGAGAGAGAGAGAGAGAGAGAGAGAGAGAGAGA